AGTCGATTATTTTAATAATCGATTAGTCGTCGATTAATCGATTAATCGTTGCAGCCCTAATATTGATGCTGCGCAGCMRGGAATAACTGAAGCAGGGAGCCATGTCAGAGGTCTTGTTGTTTATTTATGGTATCAAAAAAAGACCCAAGTGCATTTGTGCGTATTTGTATAATATATTTTGTGTGTTTGTGTAATATCGGTAAATATTGGTTATCGGCCATAACAGCAATAATTAAGTCAGATATCGATATGGGCTGAAATTTTCATATCGGTGCATCCCTATTGTTTAGGCGTTTTGCTAGTTGCTTTATGAAGTGGTGTTTTATAGATCTCTACACTGCAATAGTTAGCTGGAATAACCATGAAATCCAAAACTGTCAGTGGTGTAAAATTTTGTAAATTAGCCTTTAGCCTGGTCAGAATGAAACAATTTCTCCAAACTGAGATCGTTCAAAGAGCCATTTACAACAGGTCGGATATCAATTGTTCGTAAATTCTCCACAGAACCCTCCTTCAAAAGAACTGAACTATCCCTTTAAGACTTACCTGAATGTAATAGGAGCACAGCTGTGATTCAACAATGGATCAAGGGATGGTATCACATTTGTATGACAGACTCCAATATGGTGTTTTGCGTAGTTCAGTTTAGCTCAACGTCGCATAGTTCACATCTGATTAACAGAGAATCAGTACTCCTACACGTAAAACACCAGATCCAAGGTAAATCAATGGAACGCAGTGTCCTCTCACCGTGCTGAACGCTCTGAACTCTCCCGCCGATGTGGTCTGACGCCTCTAGGACAGTGACATCCGTGAAGCCGTTTTTTAGCAGGACCCTTGTTGCGGCAAGGCCGGCCAAGCCAGCGCCGATCACTACTATTCGAGGCTGCCGATGAGTATGAAGGCCGCTACTAAGAGGATCATCAGTGCTGTCTGAGGAAATTTCACAATTTTGCATGCCGTCCAAGCTCCTCTTCGGTGGAGTCTGAGAGCGAGACACATGAAAAGAGTTAGGAATCAGAAGGAGGACTTATTTGAAACATAAAGATTTGAAATTCACTCATTTATTGCAGAACATTAAACTCATTTCTAAATCTGCTCAAATCAAACCAAAAGGGTTCCATTGTTTGACTAAAATCCTCTAAAACTTGCAGTTTTATCTTCTAAACACTTGCAGCTATAAGATGCATAATTAGGCCTGTTTGGCACCATCTTGAGCAGCTAATTAAATCCCAACGACAAAAGCCTCTTTTATAAGGCAATTCTTACCACTTATTGACATTCCACTTGCTATGACCTGCATTTACAGCCACGTTTATGACTATAATCAMGCTAATTTAGACTATTTATGTCATGACATGTTTACATTGCTCAGTCTGTAAGGCCCAAATTAGAAGGGCCCTGCTGGAAAACCATGTTATTTCCATTAGATAACAGAGTACACACATAATAGAGAGATTTCTCATTACAGCCGCCTGAATTAAAGCGAAACATCCCAGAAACGCCAGTGTTCAGAGCAAATAAAATGCTGACTTTGTTTTTCCAACACAAGGCCGCTCACTGTGAATGTATGTCCAGCGGTGTGGGAAAATAATGCAGCAGGAATATGTTCACAACACATTCCTGATATCTCAAGACAGAGATTTATCAATTTTCTGTGTGTAATATTAACATTTCATTGCGTGTTTAATTTACTAAAAACATCGTCTCAATTATCTGATTTTTTTTTCTATATGAAATGGGTCAGTGTCAGCTCTTTGGAGGTAATCCTGCTGCGTCCTGCGCCACTCACACACAAACTCACTGCTTTGTTACCACAGCAACGCGAGTGAGGGGGCAGCGCATGTCTGGGGACCGCACGTTGAGCTGCTCTCAGCTTGAGGTCACCGAGCAGAAAGACTTCTATAATTGTTCCTGGTTGTGTCAAACGCAAACGGTCTTGTTCACGCTCCGATTTTTCTACAATGGAAAGCGYGCCGGCTGCGTAAAACATGCGTCTTCCCTGGTTTTCAACTTTGATTCAACTTATAAGCAGAAGCTAAAGCATCACCTGCTGAATGAGTCGCCTGCCCATCAGAGAGCTGGCGGTGGCAACGAGGAAACCACAAGCCTCCAGCAGGCCACGTGAGAAAAATGTTTGGTGAGGTCTTAAACTCAACACAGAGAGGTTACTGTAAATTCCTGCTTAAAATTTCTGTGTGGCCAAAAAAAGCAGATGTGGGTTAAAGCTGCTAATCAGCAAGCTTCGACAAAAAAAAAAAAAAACATTTGACCTGATCATCCTGAATGTGGGTCGCACACACACACCTCACAGATTTACACAACAAACAGTGAAAGGTGAGCAACATAATAGATTATCGTGACCTTGTAACAACACTGCTGCGCTCTAAAGTTTGATCTTCAAGCAGAAGTTGCCAGTTTGTTTCAGTGAACTTTCAATTCCTGTCAAAAATTATTTTTTCTTTAAATATACTTCCTCGGTGGTATGTTCGTAAGTCCACGTCACAGGTTTTGTTTTTACCACACGCTTACTCAAACCTCCAAACCACACTGTGCTGTAGCTCTGCTTTAAAGTCATGTTTCATTTCCACTTCTGGTACGCTCTGTGAAGCTAAATTGTTAATGTTTAAACTATGAAAACAACAGCTGAATTCACAGAATCTGAAGTTAACACATTGATACAGCCTCACAGGGAATGGACTGAAGATCATTATTGTTTGAATTTACTTGAGGAAAAAGGGGTCGATGTAATAAGATTTTTTTCTTCTCTCTGCCACCTTTCATTTCATTTTATTTGTATTTTCTTTTTATTGTATATAGAATTACATTTGTTTTTTTTAAGAAATGAATAAAGTTTAAACAAATTAAATAAAATACAATGGGCTACAAAGAGTAGGAAAATGGGGGGAAATAATGGTGGACATAGTTTATTTTTTTAGCTCATTGAAACTTTTTAATTTAGTTTGTAGAATTAAACWGAGGGTGATGTTTTTCTCCTGAGCTGATGTATATTTTAAATATCTACAGATACTCTCTGTAATTTGACAGGTGGTTTCAGATTGTTATGGTGCTATAATTGCTGCTCTTTAACTGTATCTGTGACACAGATTTGTGGCAAAAACCTCATGCTGCAGCATGTTTGTAGAAAGTCACTGTGTAACACTTTACGTGCTGCAGTTTGCTGTTTTGGATGTATTTGTGCGTCAGCAAAAGTTCTATTGTACATGTCAATGTTTGTGGCCTACAGCCTAGGGAAGCATAGCCTTTCAGACAACAAAACTTATTTTAACAAAAAGCGCACAACAACAGCTGACTACATTATTATTAATATTGCATGGAACTTTTCAATTCTAATTATTGTGTTATTTACTCATTTTTCCTATGATTACCTCGTAGATTGCTAATGCATTAAAACAATAACTGCAACTGTGTCAAGATCAAAAAAACAATTTGAATGGAAATATAATTAAATACATTTTGATTACACTAAAAGAGTTCAAATATGTCATAAAGTGACAAAAATATGGGAATTATATGTTATAGTATCACAAATTTTCTTTGTAATAGTGTGGATTAGAGTGTCAAAAATATTTTTATGTAATTTAATCCTGTTTATGAACTAAACACTTGTGATTTGATAAAGCTATATCATGTCACACATTGGATTCTGGCAGCTTGTTCTTTTTTTTTCTCCTGGTTGCTGCAGATTATTGTGTGGACTGCCCTTGGGTGGGGTGGAGTAAAGAAGGAAGAAATGACGGGATGGGCTGGAGGAGTGGAAACAACCATTGACCTAGAAATCTGGTGCCGCTGGTGGTCTCTTCAAGCCAGGGTCATCCTTCAGCTGAAAACCTCATCATTATCGCTTCTCTTTCTTTCTGTGGACACAGCTCTTTCCAGCTGTGCACACATCATCTCATCTGCATTCCCTCCATCAGCCCTATGTTATCAGACGCTTCTACATCGTTATATGAAAAAAAAAAAGAAAAAAGTTGCAGCTTAATCTCGAGGGATGAGCACCAAGGGCCAGGCATTCCACACTTGTGTCCCAACTCAGATTTTCCCAGCAGGATGGGATGATGGAGTGAACACGCATGTGCACACACACACGCACGCACACACACAAGTTGTTCCCCTTATGGAGATAAAAAGAACAGTACTCTGAGAGACTACTGGTGTAGTTTAAAATCAAATGCACTGATTCAGGCAATGAATGGAGTGAATTCCTTACAAGAATAAAACCAAATAGAAAAAAATAAAAGGTAAATTTATGATAATTGTATCCAAAACTGTGCAGTTTGATAGAATAAATCAATATATTTGAGTTTTTTGTTATGCTTTGGTGAGTTTTGCTGAAGTTGTACGCAGCTTAAACATCTGATGTATAAGAATGTAAGCACCATAATACTTTTATTTAATAAAGCTGAAAAACAGAAACATAAAAAAGAGGGTTTTACTCCAATCCATTCAACATTAATGAGKCATTTATAATAATATTTAATAATGTGTTATTACAGCTTTGACAGTTCTGGGTCGAACAGCATCAGAATACCAAAAACTTGCAGCAGCATTAAAAGAAAGAAGAGAACAAAGAGATTGTGAAATGAAAGGGTTTGATGTGTGTCTGCTGTCTGAACAGCTGTGTTCAAAGCCTGCCACGTATAAACCGAGGTGCCAAAGTGGCAGCAGTTTTAAACAAAGCAGGAGACTCGGAAACTAACAAATGCTCTGAGGTGACACTTTGTGATGAGAACGAGATCAAACCTGCCTTAAACATGAAGTAAAMATCGGTTTAAAGCCATAGAGCTGTCCCGTTATATCCAACAGAGGACTCTTAGTTCCAGTTCAGCCTGTACGAGCAGTAGCACCTGGTGACATGTGGCTTCATGTGTGAACAGTTCCCCTCAAATAACAAGCCATAAATACGCTTCTTTCACGCTATTTTTTAAGGCTAAAGTAGCACACTGACTGTCTCCTCCTGTGTTGTTTTGGTTAAAATTCACCGCACTCGCTCGCCATCACTGTCCCACTTTGTGAACACTAACTCCGGCTACTAATGTGGTCTAAGAGCGGCTGGTTTACCTGACTCTCGTGGTCTTCAGCGTTACAACAAAAAATAATAAAAAGAAAAAGAAAAAAGAAAAGACACGTCAGAGTGTTCCTCGCTCCTTTGTGGACAATGAACGTTCTGTCCCTCTGTCAAACCGGCTTCGCTTTGTATTTATGTCTGGAAACCAGAAGCAGCCAGTTTCTGCCGTGGCCGCTGCCTCCTGGTTCATAATTCATGAGGAGTGACGTCAGAGCCCCGCCCCCACACCGAGTCAGGCTGCTSTAGTCACAGCAGGTCACACAGAAAGCCGGCTCTGTTGTTTTTAACGCAGATAATAAAGTCAAAATCAGGCGATTTTCTCCACAAAACACATGAAAGAGCTGGTTGTAAAACAGGCTACAGTTATAACCGACCATTTTTTACTTTTTAATTCCCCCAATTGTTGAACACAGCAGGAGCTTCTTCAGAAAGTTTTAAAAAGGGTTGCCAGATGGGGGCCACTGGCAGTCAAGCAGGCAACAAAAAACAAAAGCGTGCATGTAATACGGATTGCCCGTAAATGTTTTGTTGTCAGCATTTGCCTTCACTTGGGCCAGTAACGACTAGAGTTTTCATGCCGATCCTCCCTTCCTCTTCTGGATTTTGTCTGTGCCTTTGATAAAATAGGGAAGCTTGCTCTAAAATTAGTGAAATAATCAACAAGTTCTCAAAGAAATTTTGAGAAACAAATCGGAATGCTTTGTGTCATCATGCATACTTTACATTGCACTTCCTGWTTTTTTTTTTATAAGGGAAAACTGCAGTCGATTTGGTGAAGGTTGAGTCTCATGTTGGGGGGAAGAGTTGTGTCATTAAATTGAGCTGCTTTAGGCAAGAACACGAGAATGAACGAAAACTTTGTCACATTAAGTTGCCTTTTTGTTTTTCTTTCTTCCATCTGCTCAGATAGAAGTTGCATGCTGGTTTAGCAATTTTTTTTTTCGGCCGGATGCCCTTCCTGACGCAACTGACCACCGAGTTACCACAGCCCACATGTGTGGAGCACAGGGAGCAGCAGGGGTCAAGAACTCAAATGAAGATAGAAACAGAGGATTTGAACCTGTAACCTACCGATTGCAGGATCCACCCTGCTTATCTGCTCATTTGTGCTCACTCACTTGTAAATACTCAGTTGTGACACCAGTACACTCACTCTCAGCAGCTAATATTGTGTTAAGGACATTATTTGCACATGTCAAAGACACTGAAGGATCTAACAACTATTGCAGGATTGACTGGATGTTTGGTGACTGTGTGGAGAAATATTATCCTGAGGTCAGACCCAATGTTTAGGCTGTGTAACAAAAAGGATGTGTGTCATCTGAAATCACAAGTGAGACTACTGAAGTGCTGGAAAATGTATTGCTTTCTTTGCTGGATTCAAAACACCTGTAGTTCACATACATAAAAATACACACATTTAGTTTGTCTTGTTTAGTCCTAATATCAAAAATACCAAGGTGGCAGCTGGTTTCTTAAATCAATAGAACTTCCAGCATTTTCAAACAATTCTTTTTTCTACCAGAGACTGCAAAATGGCAGTGCTGAGGTAATTTGCAACCCATTAGGCCACCTTTTGTTATGTTCATGCAGCCACTAACAGGTAACGCTAAACAGGGGTGATGGGTGATAGTGTGAACGATGTTGATCCATTGACTCAGATGAAAAAGAAAAAACTCTTGATTTTAACCCATCCTGATACGTAAAGATTGCTCAAAAAATAATATTTGATCTTAATTTGAGTCATATTGACTTGTCAAGAAAAAAAAGTTTGCCAATGGGGTGATATATTTTGACTTAAAACAAGACAAAATGTCCTGATAAGATTATTTTACTTAGTTTTTTATGAAACTTTAAGTAAAAAAATTATCTTTTTCAAGTAGCTGAGGATTATTTTTGTATACATTTATGTAAAAATATCTTTACCTATTGGCAGTTTTTCAAAAGAAAAAAATACTTAAAATAAGGTTTAAAAAAATCTGAACCTTAGCTATTTTGACCAATCAGTATGTCACCTTTTTCAGTGTGAAAACAATCTAAATTTGTACAAAGGAGGCATACTTGAGATGTTTTGGAA